TCAGCCAGGTAGGTACCTGACTATAGTCAACAACTATGGAAAACCTTGATTAACCCCGTACAATTGAGTTCATATTATTGAGGTAAGAAAACCCAGAATAATAGAACTGAGAGCTGACCTTCGCCGAGGGTCAGTGCCCGAGTCGCGTCGCGGCACCAACCTCGCGACCAACCTCGCAACCAACCTCGCACCCGGTGCGGGCTAACGAGCCCATTGTTCTCTCTTATGATTTTCAACTATCCTACGGTGCCTTATGCCTAAGTATATATTCGATATTACTCATGCTTTTCGCGTCAGTAAGTCTCGGGTGTAGCGACGAGGGTCAATTGTAGTGCCCGGCACTACACCTCCTCCCCACAGGGCCCAGGAGGTGAGCACCCCGAGTGGGGCGAATCGAACAACAACAGATTTTGGGAAACTTAAGAATTACTGTATTTAGATAAATATAACCTACTGTTTCAAGGAAATGGGCCTACGTTAGGTGCTGATCATAGGCCCTGCTCGAGGGGCAGGTAGCAGCATAGTCGCAGCAGTAGGCGCTGTGCACTACACTTACCGAACAACAGGCGGCTTTACAACTCGCCAGCCCCAAACTCTGCTTTATCAAAGCATTGCAGTGGGACTATTTCTTGCATAGGCTGGCGAAGAAGGTTCACCGCTGCTTGCCGTTACCCTCAGCTACAGTCGATATTGGATGCTCTCAAAAGAAGCGCAGACCCTACCCTCCAGATGCCCGAGATCCTCAAAAACAGCCAAAAGTGTTTGTAGATAGCTCGCCTTAAGAGTCTGCCTGTGTAAATTATAGCATGCTTGAAATTCCTGTATTTGAGAATGTGCAGTAGTGTTCCAACCGTTAGTGAGTCGCTCTCGCCACTGGAGCCACGTCAGTCTAGATCTAGTAATTGGCGTAACTCTCGCTGTTTTTCATAAAGATTCGATTTCAGCACTCGTAAGTTAGCTAAACAGAATGGCTCACTTCACTTCCAGGAGAAAGACAGCAGCTGGCACCCTTGAATTTGCTGTTAAGCGTTCAATCGCCACCACAGATTCACTGAACTACTCATTTCGATGGAAACCCTCCGTTTCACTCCTGCGCATTGAAGCTGCTCTGTAACCGGTTCATTATCAAGCAAGCTATTACCTCCGCAGATTATCTGCAGAACGATGGAAAAACAGAAAATGTCCACTGTGCAACCCCGCCAACTGTCAGCTACCATTTTGTACGCTCCGTTTGCTGCGACTCTTTTCGACACTATGTAGCTTCCTAGCTTGCACTGCCTCGCTTGCTGCATGCATTACCTTCGTTGCATTCTGTCAACGATTGGTAGGCCGCAGATTTACTGCCCACGAAGCGCCGGCAGGAAAGTGGCCTCAGTGCAGAGGGAAAGTAAGCATACTTTCACACATGTTAGACTCCTTGGCTCTTGTTTCCAAACGGGTCGGTTGAAACCGTTAATGACAGTGTTGCAGAACGCTAGTACTCGTCATAGGTATCACCTGTGGGGGCGCCTCCTTACGCCCACGCGCCCGCTCTGCGACGGCGGGTTTCGGAATAGCATGATGATGATGGGCCGGTGTCCCGATCGGCATTTTGCTTACTGACATTGTAGAAGTCTCCTGTGTGGGGCCGATAACGCGTCCGTTGAGGAGATGCATCCCTTACCGAGCTAAGATATCTAGGTGTGAATTATTTAAACATAGTATTTCTACTCCCAGGTTCAGTAAAAAAAGATTCGTTCCCGGAACAGCCCCCAAACGTAGTGCACAGCGCCTACTGCTCTGACTATGCTGCTACCTGCCCCACGATTAGGGGCCTATGATAACCTTCTACCTTCAGCGCATCTCCTTGAAATAATAGTCCAAATATCACAAAATGTAGCTACTTTTAGCTTTCCAATTCCATTTTCTTGAAAATTCCTCCACTCGGTGTTCTTGCCTCCTTGGGGAGGAGGCCTGCGCCGGTGCCGGCTCAATCGCCAGCCCCAATCTCCAGACATTCACAGACAAGTCTAGTGTATACAGGCTAATTTGATGGTAAATTGCCTTATTTCGATACTAGTAAGAAGATCCTGTCCTTGTTCAGCGTGAAGACCTGTTGTAAGTCACCAGCTAGCTATCTTCTTACGGTCACCAGGAAGCCCTATTGTAGTGCCTGTGCACTACACTAAATAGGGCTAACTGTAGGCTCAATGCAAGCAGAAACATCGGGAAGAGGGCAAGTATCTAGATTAATTCGGTCGAAACAAATGATGGAGAAAATCAGGTGAAGCAGGGAAACGAATAAGGAAAATTCGTGTATAATATATTGGAATGACTAGAGTTTACAGCCGTGATAATAGACCAGAGAAAGTCAAACAGCTATAAAGATTCTACCAAAAGTTTACACCTACTGCTGAACGAAAACGCAAAAGGAAATAAAGGGCCGGGAAAGAAGCTGCACTAAGCGTGAAAATGATACAAGAGTTTGCATTACTTAAAATCTTAGAACAATGACTTTATGAGATTGTAGCAGAAGAGAAAATGCATTCTTCCCAAGAGTACATTCGCTCAATCAGCGGCAGCGCGAGGAGCAGAAGCAATGCACAAAGAAGCAGATTCCGTATTAGCCCTGAAAGAGACGGCCTCTAGAGAGACAAATTGTGGAGCAGACCTGCAACAAGAAAGTCCTACAGATGCACAACAGAAGCGCAGAGCGGAGGCAAGAAGAATGGTGCGGCCTCTAGCAGGAGTGAGGCATAGCGAGGTCTGGAGAGAGTTGAGAACAAAGATGTTCAACAATAGTTTCTTTCGGTGACAAGTGAAGCGTTGTTGGGAAAGGGGAAGTTGTGTGCAGCGTGATAACGTGCTGGAGAAATGGTCTCCAGGGTCACTGAATGCCAAATATGTAGATTGCTTTAGAGAAGCAATTGACGCGCGCGCCTGGGTTGCCAAGCCTATCGTGCTCTGTAGTCAAGCTCCAGGCTTGGGGCAAGAGCAACTGAAACTGCTGTGTTCGGCACAGCTAAGCAGAGAAGGGTATATGTCCGGGTGAAACAAATGTTTCCCTTGCAAAATGCACCTAAGGCCTAAAGGGTGATTCTGGTGAGTAATGATGGATGTAAGCCTATGGAGCCAAAACGGAAGTGATAAGTAGGCCACAGGCTGGTCTTTTGCTCAATATTGTAGCGGTTCTGAATCGGCGCTAGCGATGGAATTTGGAAGGCCCTGCTCCCGCATTCGTTCGCAATTCATTTCCAAATTAAAGTTTTCTGTCCTCACCACCGCTTATGGCATTTGTAGTGGGTTGAAATGGAGTCTTCAAGCTGGTTTCTCTCGTGCCCGCAGCGGAATCCTGAAAATGTTACCGTTGGGAAACTGCCGCAACAGCGACTACGATAGTTCTACCTGTCTATATGCGCTCAAAAGGTGCATAATGCCTCCATTAAAGACTCGTAAAGTGTGCTTACCAACGCCGGTGCTCACGGATACAGTTGCGCCCGCGACTCACTTTGTGGCACAGTTTTGCTGAGGTTTGTCATCCTCAGCTCTGCTGTCCACTGCTTGTTAAACCATAATTCTGGCGAGTAATAGCCACACTATTACATGCTGATGCTCAGGTATTCAGCGCAGTCCCAAATTTTCACTGTGGCACTGCCCGTTGCGGCACTGCCTTCCTCAGGCTGCAACATAGAATCGCTTAGAATACCACGTTGCAGCCCATTTGATCGCTGTTGTGTTACGTTGTGCGACTCCTTGCATGTTGAGAGTGAGAGTGATGCGGGATGGAGCAATTCGCTGCTCGACTCCTTTCACCGTCATGCCCGCCTTAACTTCATCTAGTGGTTGCCACCAAGGAACAGTCGAAAACCGTTCGTTTTTGTTTGCATCTATAATAAACTGATTTTGTGCCTTCAGCAGTTCCGTGCCAGCGGCGTTCCGCTCTTCAGTTCTGTGCCTCTCTCATACCTATTCGCGAGCAAGTGCTGGACAACGTAACAGTTTGGAACTCTGGTAAACATTCAACAGGAACTGACCACAACCCTCTGCTCCAAACTGCCAGTTTTCCACTACTTTATTTATTCCTATGGATGAGCAGTATACAGCAAAAATAGCCGAGGTACATTCCTCACAGCACCCAACACATTGGGCACCGACAGCACGGCGATGCACGACAGATGTTCGGTACGCCAATTAATGTCTACACACCTCACTGTGGGTAGTACTAATAAATTCTGGACTAGGACAGAATTAGAATGCTCTCTGCAACAGCGAAGCAGTTTTAGATAACGGGCGGACGAAATAGTGGCTTCTGCGTGCATGCGGATGCAGCTACATTGCATACTTTCCAGCGAGAGAGTCTCAAGAATTTTTTGTGTTCTCCTGGTAGTTACGATATTGATACATTTAGAGATGGTTGGAACGCCCTTCCTTGTCTCCACACTGGTGTTTCTTCTCACCCAGTACGTAACTAACTTCTTGAGTTCGGGTGCAATTCATGTGAGTGTAATGCCCCTTGGGGAACTTATATAATGAAACTTCTCATCAGAGCAAAGTGCATGCTACTATGAGGTAGCGGCGTCCATGTCCTGCATGCTTATCCCTTGGTGTGTGGGGAGACGATGCATCTGCCTGGCTTCACATCGCTTGTCGCCGATCACACATCCCTTAATCAAAGGTCAAGGCAGTTCTCCTCTAGCAAAATGGCTGGTGGCGTCGAAGTCTTTCAAGTTATCAACGTACACTGACCGCGAGTGCTCACGTGCCGTGCAGATGGAAAATCAGGGTGCACAACGCATAGCCATGGCGAGCACGGAAGGGCTTGTCGTCGGCTTCTCGACAGCATCCAGCAGTGAAGAGGCACGATCTGTAAGCGACCTGAGAGCCCATGTGGTTCATAGGCATTCGGCATGCCGTGTTTCACCGCTTTATTTGCCTCAGTGTTTAAGTGCATTTGCGTATATTCCGCTTGCTGCATGGTGAATATCTGAATGTCCCAGAACGAGATGCATACAGACATGTTCTTTTTAAGCAACTAAAGTGAGTGAAGAGAGCTGTCGATTGCAGTGGCGGGGAAATTGAACTTCCTTTACCAGTGTTTCCTAAGCATTTCGTTCTTCCCCCTCTGTGGTGGCTGTGTTCTTTATTCCTGAAGATTGCAGAGAATCTAATCGTGAAGAATCTCGCTGCATGCGTACAAATAGTGCCTGCTGTGGAAAGCGTCTACGAGTGGAAGGGGGAGCTTGTGGTGAGCCAGATGTCTGCCGTCGAACAGAAGGGCCCGCAAACAAGAAGGCTTCTTCGTCATATGCATTTCCTCTTCAAAAGCTAAGGCTGAGATTATTGGGCTGTGGTGCGCGTGGCAGTTTTCTGTGTGAACTTCTGTAGAAATCCGCCGAAGTCCTGATGATTATCAAGGCGCAGAGGCAACATGCTCAAGCGGTGGTACAGGCTATAAAAGAAAAACACTCCTACGAAGTTCCAGAGGTGAAACTAGACCCTAATTTGTCCAAAATGCGCCCCAGTGAATTCAAATCTGGTGAAGGGAGCTTTAAACAGTCGCGGTACGAAGAGCACTTTGTTTTGGATGGCGTCTGCGGGACCCCATTCGTATGGTGCGCGACTTGTGCGTGTTTCAGGTTGTGTTTACAGAAATCGTCGATGGCAACACAGTAAGCATGATGCCGACGCTTCTTCGGTTGCTTGTACAGCTGAGTGCTACGCTAGGTCTGTGTGGTGCTCCCAAATCCTCACAGACCGACTGACGCAAGCCCGTCAATTCGTGCGTGCTGTATCGCAGGATTACCTACAGTGGGCTCGCGCTGCCACCCAGCCTAGGGGTTCGTAAGTTCCCGGCGTGGCTGTACCTTGTTGGCGGACCGCTGCTGTGTCGAAGCACCGAGTCTCAGCTCCGTTAGCTGTACAGTCAGTTGTTCTTTATGAACGGACGATGGGAAGTATGTAGACCTATTTCTTTAAGTCGCTTGAAGGTCAAACTACGAGTGGTCACGGCTGCTCGTGCTCTTCATCATCCTTTGCGAAAATACACAGTAATTCCATCAGTTACTTAGTGCGAATTATATCCCATGGCAGGATCGCTGAAAGTGAGGTGAAAGTCAGGAACTCCCTTCAGGTTGTTCACCTTATACAGCTATATAGAACCTCGAAAACGCTGAGCTGCACCAAGCAACCACAGTACTTGCGCCGTGCACCCTGCGCTCTGCGGATGGAACAGATTTAGTGATAATGGACTCTGGAAATGCCAGATCTGCAGAGTAAGGTTCGGCTGCCATAACATTCGCACAGCAGCGACGAACTGGACACTTAGAGAGAAGGCGGAAGTAAGGCCTCGAGCGAATACTGCTGGACAACACTACTTCGTCCGAGCATTAAGCCGAACATCATCAGTGCTTGATCGGCGTTGTGAATAGATGCATGCGAATAGCCGGGGCGCATTCAGTTACGACCAACTTCAAACGCGCATCTAGAGTATTATCACATGAAATTCTCCCATCCGCCGTCACTAGGATAACGCCACCGCAGCTGCGAAAACGTACGAAGCAATTCAAAGCGCTCAACCTGACTCTCCCACAGCTGCGCAACTGCCCTGCTGTGCCATGGGCGTCAGTGGCCGTAATCTGTCAAGTGCAGGCACGGAACTCACCATGAGGGTACCGTGCTGTCGGCGGTAGGCGGGGGTGGAAGGTATCTCCCGAGCTTGTCGATGGACAGCTTGACTGTCTTTTTGAGACCTGCTTCGTCATTCAGAATCTTGCTATATTTCGCTGCAGCAGCTGGGAGAACACTCTCCACTACTGATCGGTCCACTTCACGGCATCTGATCACTACTTCTGGTTCCAGTAGCCGCAACAAGCCCTAGAGAAGGAAGTCACACTCCACCAAGATTAAACTCACTTCGACAATGAAAGTAATGGCAAACGCTACCTGCGCATACGCATCAGCTGCTGCGTCAGCTGCCGACCTGGACAATGAGATCCGTTAGAAGTTCCTTGTATCTGGCCGTATTTGAGCAGATGGCCGCTAGTTGCTTCTGAGACTGCGCATAAACTTCCGTCACAACTTGATCCTGCGCGGCGATCCGGCGGAGGCGAGCTTTGTTGATCGCTGTAGACCGGTCACTGAGTCGGCACAAACGAATGCATTGTAAACACGTAAAGTGAAGGGCAATGCCCGCGTGAGGGATGAACTGCCACAGATACGGAGTCCATTCCTCGAACCTACATTGAACGTTGTACTTCAAGCTTCTTTGCCTTCTTGTCAAATTCCTGACGTATCTTGTCCTTCATTTGCTGCACCAGTTTAAGCTTTTCAATGTTGAAGTCCTCCAATGCACGGGCCTCTATTTCCTGAGCTTTATCCTTGGCTTCGTTCAAAATGAACTTCACCATCTGCTGGATTTGCGCAAGCGCTTCTTGGTCGTCCTGCGCAAGAAATTGGAACGGGCAAGCGAAAGATTGGCATTGAGATGGTCCACACACGCAGAAAAGAACAAGAACCAAGCCCACATGCCCTACCCAACTTGACACGGCAACCAACACGTCCGCTGTCCAAGCAGCTGAGTTTCCCAGCAGAGCTCCTGCGGTGTTCTCTCCTGATTTCGGAGCCAAATTCAAAAAGGCAAAGGTTACTGCCGGGATATCACAGCTTACCATTGCCATTTTCGCGGTGTTGTGGAAATAGACAGACTATACTTCGCATGCCATCAGTTCTTGTGGCCCTGCGAACAGTGAGGAAATCACCCCCTACCAATACTCTTCTGAGTACAGATTGTTGTAGTTTGACGTTGCTTATCGAGAAACGAGCTGCTTAGGGTCTGAACAATGGTAGCGATGGACTGCATGAAACCCGCCAGCAGCTGTACCGCTACAACTGCCACTTCTCGACTTCTGCAGCCGCGCCCGAAATAACTAAGCAAATCCCCCAAAATAAAAGGAAATATAAGCACAAGCATTTTCAAAAATCATAAACCGGCGGTGTCGATTACCCATCCAACCATTTCACTACAATGGGAAACAGGTAACCAGATGCCCGAAACACGCTGCACTGGAGGGGTAACGCTGTAACTCAACTACAGCTCAGCTGAAAATTTGGCACATACCATAAAATTCGTAGAACAAAACGACGGGGAAGAAAATGCGGAGTTTCTGTTGTGGCGCTGTCCTTCCCGGTGTGACCAACGAGTACTATTGAGTGAAGAGGCGATCAGCATACAAACCAATAAAAAACGCACTTGGGTGAATGCTTTGTTTTAATTTTACACAGATAGTCCCACATTCCACCTCAACATGATCCCGTAGGGCACAGGGAGAGCGCCTGCTCTGCGTTTTTGGAAGGGCTGTTCAGCTGGTTGCGGGGCTGTCTCCTTGTACTCCTGTACAAAATTCATTTCGCTTCATGGTTTATCGTGTAGATCTACAAAATGGACGACCACTGCGATTTTGGCCGCTCACGTATCAACCAATACTTGCTCGGTTGTGAGGATCTGCAGCGCTTATCTAACCATTAGCGCTCCGTCGTTGATGCTGATATGTAGTACGAAACAAAGGCTGTGATAATTTGTTGCTTTTCAGTTACTCCTTGGCAAACAGTATTTATATTGATACGCTTTGGACTTTAACGAAGCACTGAGGTAAAGCATGGCAGGTGAAACACCAGTGTTAATTGGATTTTTTGGGGACAGTGTGCCTGATGGCGACCAAACGGCCGCAGAAGAGCTGAGCAAATTCGGAGGGAATCCGGTAAGTCTTAAGCCCGCTAGCTGCTGTGTCACTTACTGGACAGCGCCGTTCGCAACTGGGAACTATCATGGATATTGCTTCGTTTCGCCATCTGAAAGGCTGCGCAAAGCAATTTGCCTGTAGGTCTGGATTGATGGCAAGATTCCGGACGGTTTTCCCTTCAAGTGCTCGCTATGTGGAGTGGTGCTTGACTTTGTTTGCCAAGTGTAAGTCATGCAGCGCCCACTGAAGATCAAAGTACCTGTCCATCCATCGATGAGTGCAGTGACCGTCTGTTGCTGCTTCACCGATCTTGCCTTTTGATTATGCGCCAATTGTCTGTTTTCCAAGTTCAGGGCGACTCCCTACGGCGCAAACAAGAGGTGTTTGTACTTTTTTTGTTGCCATGCACAAGCAACGTGCGGCAAGAGACCCGAGGGTTGGAAGGTTCTGAGAGGTGTTGTTGAGCCCCCTGCCCCAACCCAGGCCGAGGTAGAAGCTTGCGGGGCTGCGCATGCTTCTATCAAGCGAGAGGATGACGACTTGGCGGCAGCGGACCCTTCTGACTGGCTTCAGGTTGCGTTTGGCTCCAGGACTGCTGCAAACACCTGTAGTGAGAAGGGCAATGGGAAACCGAAGGCCGGCGAAACAACAGTGGCGCTGCCTACGTCACAGTCCGCTGCTCGGCTGCAACAAGCAAGTGAACTGATGCCGGCATTTTTTGTTGAAGTTGAAAATGAGCCACCAGATAGCTCCCATTTGGACGCCACTGGTAGGGCGTACAATGGCGTGTATTCCCCTATTTTGTGGTGTCTAGGATCGTTGTTGCTTTATATGGAAGTTCATTGGGCTTTTGGTAAACAGCATTAGAACTGCATGAATGCAGGGGAAACCGTGGACTATCTCAAACAAGCTCTAACATTGTGAAGTGATCACTCCATCTCACAGCCATTTGCTGGGATCTAGGTGTCCGTGAGCTGAAGGAGGCTATGCAAAAGTGTCATCATGTCGAACCACGCATTACTGTGCAGGCTTGCGGGCGCGTGAGCTACAGCTGGAGTACGAACAGAGGTGAGCCTTTGGCTATATACGGTCTTGCACAAGTACGCCGTGGTGCTTCAACGCCAAAAAAACCTCCCGAATTGTCCGTGTGATTCAGTGAAGCGCATGAAGCCGATGAAGATCCAGAAGGCAATCAGTACGTCTCAGATGTAACAATGTGAAGCGTTTGTTAGTTTTAGAAAAGGTGGCAGGTCTCTTTTCCGCCCATACTTCTAGTGACTGCTGTGGTGCTGTGCATTCAGGAGCGGCGCCGTGGAGGCAGAAGCTTACGAAGAAAGCCCTGATAAAGTACGCCGGCCCGTTATTTTATCAGAGGCTTAAATAATGTGACAGGCTTCGCATTGCTTCTGTTCGTAAATGACGTTTCTTGCTTTCATTAGGTGTTCCTGAAGCTGCAAAAGCGCCTTTCGAGGAGTCCGAAGCAAGCTATTAGGTACAGCTTCGGAGGGAAGCCCCTTTTTATATCGCCGTTATCTAAAAGGGATGCAATGCCCCCTCCGCCCTGCCCACATTGCAGCTGCGCTCGAGTTTTCGAAATGCAGCTTGTTCCAGCGGCAGCGGAGGAAATTCAGAAACGGTGTGTCTCACAAATGTCCCTTGCATTACGGAGCAAAATGAATAGTTAGCGACACTGCATGTTTGAGCTTTACACGTTTTACTTTGAAGATTCCTGATCGGAAGGCCGCGTAGGAGATCCGCGGGCAACTCGTGTGCACTGCTGTATGCAGACGCCATTCAGCCGAAGCAGCGCCTATCGAATGGGGAGTCGTCGTAGTTTTTACATGTGAGGCGGAGCGCGACCTGTGCATTCAGCGGGCTTGAGCACCGCGAGGATGCGGTCTTTTTCATACTTCACCTTGCTCCTGCGTAGTGGGACGTTGTGCGTTGCAGGCAAGGAGGACTGTGTCCCTTCTAACGCGTATGCTGTTGAGCACGTTGCAGTCCAGGAAATATTATGAGCAGACATCTCTTGGGTTCAACTGCTCTGCTTGCGCGTCCACGAGGCAGGGGGCCAGAGTTTGTTTGCCAGCTTGAAGAAGGGCATCAACGTAGCTTATCATGAGCAGCCACGCCATCGCTAGCAGAATAGTCCACCCAATGAATGCGGCGGTGACGCGCCATCTGTTCATGAATGGGGCGGTTTGGAGGTTGGGACAAGTAGCTCCCCAGAAAACCCGGAGTCCTTCCTGCCATGCGCCTTCAGCATTCGTAGACCCAACCGAAGGGTCTCGCAGCGGTGTCCTGACAACATAAGCCATTTTTCATGTGAACACTCGAAAACTTGTCAGTTGGAGCAACTCACCGCTGAAGACCAACAATGAATCTGCCGAGATTTACCGGCGTGTTGGTCGGCTTTAGTACGACGACCGATCCCCTATGCGAAAACAGTGGGTATTCAACTGAAGCGCACGGGTCCGTCGTTACGCTTGCACTTGGGCACACGAGCGTCAGGAGGTATGTGAGGCCCTCGCCTTTCCTTCTGAAAGCTATGAAACTGTTAAATGCACGGAAACCACAGGTTTTATGGATCGCCGTACTGGTTTCGAAAGTATTCAGTCCAAGGCGGGCGCTGCCGAGAGCTGAGCAGCCATCCCTGCACACCTCTCTGGAATTGCCGAGTGTCCAAAAGGAGATGTGGCATTCGCTGAGAGCTATTTGATACTCTGGTGAAACACTTATAAAGAAAATTGCGTCGATTGTAGCACTGAGCGGAATATGGCCAACTCCGAAGGCCAACAGTAAAATCGTGGAAGTTGTACGGATCATCCGGAGTGGAGTGCGTTCCATGGCCGTATGTTCCTCAGCGTGCATTGTGATTTGTTCAGCTTTCCGACAAAAATTACGTGTCTTGCGCATGCGGGGAAACAGCACCAGGATTTGGGCGCTCCGGGTGTACATACCAGAGGCCACGCGAGCTGTAGCCTTGCCTTGTTGCCTATTCGCGCTGCATGCCGTTTACAGCATGCAGCCCGATTAGGTAACAAGGCAACTGAAACTGCCATTACACAACCAGCGTAGACAGTAGTAACACCTGTTAATAAGCCATCGCTAAACTTCAGCTGCAGTAACGACTACCAACGAATTCGCATTGCTTTTCCTGACTAGCACGCGGCAGCTCGGGGTTTCCGCTGCAAAAGGGATTGCCACAGAAGCCAATAAACATTGCATTCTTTAGTCCCTGCTGGGGACCTTCGTTCATCTGACCTGGGGCTCGCGGGCACAGCCGAAACATCCGGACCGAGGCTTTCAGGCCATCCCCATACGTTACACGGTCCCCAGTACTGCTTTGTACGAGCCACTTGCCCGCAAGGTGCTTTTGCACGCTGCCTTGCTGCGGGCAATGATAGCTGTAGGAGACAAAAGCTACGGTTCCCTAAGCATTTTATGGGGAAAATGTGCTCAGTAAAAGTGTCGAAGGAGCTAACTGCCACTAAGCGGCATCAGCATTCCACGCCTGCTAGCAAACAAAAGAAATAAAGCGTCGTTCACTCTGTGACAGGAGCATCGCTTGGAGGGGCTGCTTCTTGAGCCCAGGGCTCCTCAGATCTGCTCGTAACCGCTGCTTCCTCAGTGATATCGGCACCACCTTCCTCCTTTGTCTCCCTCTCTTCGGACTCTGTGTAGCTGGCGACAGGCGCGCTTTCAAGTGGTCCTGGTCCTTCAGCATCATGGGCCACATCGGGACCCACTTCATCCTTCTTCAGTGCCGTTGCAGCCCCCGAATCTTCCCCCGCAGCTTCTGTATCGTTCGAAAATGCTAGCGGCTCCTCAGCACCACCAGAGTTGGGTTGCTGTTTTGCTTCAGCAGAGTTATCCGCAGATCCTGCATTGCTGCCTCGCTGTCCTGTCCAAATGGGGGCCCTGAAATCACGAGCGCAAAACATAAAAACGCTACACAGACGGCAATGCACCAGACACGCAGCTGCACTGCAACAGCTTCACTAAGCCACCATAAAAAGACGTCAACACGTACCCGGAACTGGAATGCGCCAACGGCGGGGTCGGACTTCGGCGAGGCTGCTCCTCGTCGGTAAGGTCTTCATTCAGCCGGCGTTTCGGCCTGCTCAGTCTCTGCGCATCTTGATAGTCACTTAGTCGTTTTGCTCTGAGGAAAGCGAAGTCGAAATGTACACACTGGACCACGACAATACTAACGCATCCTCCTGGACACCACTATCATGAAAGCTGTACAAAGGTGGTACTGGAACTCCACATACCTCTGCTCTAACCAACTATTCAACGCCTGCGGGTCCCTACAACGCGAGAGGTAATCTTGCATAAGTTTCATGCCTGCAAAAAAGCCGAAACGCAGGCAGCTCGCAACAGCTGTCCTTAGGATCAAGCCTCAGACGCCTGCCAGCAACATGCCACGGGGTAAACTGTGTACGTGCGGCTTACATCTCGCCTTGAATTTCAGGTATGGTTTGTTGTTTTCATGAAGGAATTCCTGCTTGTTTAACGAAGGAAACATCCACTCTGGGACATTAATTACCGCTGTGAAGGCATATCGACAAATTTGCGGCGGCTCCCCATCTATGCCGAAGAGACGATCGTTTGCTGATGCCAAACACGCAAACACGCCAAATGCAACAGTAACCTTCAGCTGTACTTGGTTTAAGTTCGCGTTACTGTAAACAATCTAGATAGTACTGTTCACTAAAACGCACGGTAAGGAACTCACGTGGGCAACGTGCCGCGTCAATGTACGTGGGCGCATCTGGGAACATGCATTCTAACTTGCGAATTAGGCGCTGTCTAAAGTACAGCATTACCCCCGCCTCACAGACCCGCGGCTGAGACGACTCGCCCATTGGATCATTCAGGAAACCCATGAGCGCGAAGCATCCAGAATCGTGATCGGCTGGAGTGAAGAGGTAGGATAACTCTGCCTGTTCCACCAATCACAGCATAATCAATTCGCAGGTAAATGACAACATGCATGAGCGCACGCTTGCTGAGAAAAAACACCCCTGGCAAATTAAAGCATCCCAACGACTGCTTTCATGCGACAACAAAATGCCGGGCTCAAATTACCGGTGCATAGAGTCGTTGTTTCAGAAACATATATAATGAAGGAGAAATGGGACTTCCGTCTGCCGCAAGTTCCCCGTCTGCGGACCGCTTCTCCCCTAGGGATGTCTGCGGGCGGGATATTGAAGCAATAAGACCGCCTGCTGCCTCTGCCTGCAACTCCGCCGCCTCTTGTTGTTCCTTGGTGACGTGAACTTCAGTAGCATTTTCCATCGCCTCAGGTAAAGACTTGATTTCTCGAGCCTTCCGCTGTTTCCCACCATAACTTAACGGCTGTGGAGAAAGCGGAACATCCTGAACGTGGGTTGTTGCCGGTGCGTGCAAGTGAAGCCAAAATAAGTAAGTCGCCAGGCAATAATCTGGTGAATGCCTAGCTGTTGTCCACAGTGGAAAGTATGCAGGCAATGCCTTCTGGGTTTTCATCCGATCACCCTGAGTATCATCTGGGACACTGCTGGTATCCATCCCCGCTGCATCTGGTTGTTCTGTTTTTATGCTCTCTCCGGGACTCCCATCCTCTGCATGAGTAGCTCCTCCTTGCATTGGAGGGTTAAGGGGCTTCCCATCTTCGTCAACATCCAGCATATCCGGCCCTACTTGGGCATTAACAACAGTTGCCTCGTCAATGCGCGGTCGGCACGGGTCACGGACTGGCTGCAGAGGCTTTTCATCGCTGGCAGCACCTAAACCATCAGTGGTCAATCCGTTCGGAACTGTGTGCTCGTCCACGGGCTTCGCCTCCGAGCTAGAAGCCCCAGTAGTTGAGCTCGCGTGGTCCGGCTGACTGACTTGGGGCACTCCCTCTGCTTCGCTGCCCCTTCCAGGGGAGGAAGCGTTACATCTGACCTGCCTCGGGATATAAACATCCGGGGCTGAAGACATGTACAGCATGCTATCTCGAGGATCCAGAACTAGAGAATCCAGATCGTCCCGTAAATCCCAGAATACCATGCGAGATCCCGGCATTGTGCCAAGCACGTTTATTTGCTCCGCTAACAGGGAAGGCGTCGTAAAAGGAGTATACCTGCACTCACATAAGACAACACGCGAGTGGTCTGTCACCACTTCCATGAAATCCTCCCCCATACAGCTGAACATGAGCGCTCTGCTTTGACGGAAAGCATCGAAGGCTTCAAAGACTGCAACTAACTGGCAGCACTTGAGTGCAGAACTGATTATGAGCTGTATATTTGGGCTGACGTCATCAACAAGCGCTGATGATGGCGGTGGTCCGCCATGTTATTCGGGTCTCTGTTAATCAGCTCCTTGTTCGGTAAACGCCACATGCACATCTGCACGCACAGCAAAATGACACAGGAGTTCACATGCAGCAAAACCAGCCTACCGCTATCGTCCGTGGGTGTTTCCTAAACCGCAAAACAAAGCAAATGCTATAAGCGAAGGCATACGGGTGCTGCAATCTCCCGAGCATCGCAGTGCCCCATCAGCTCCAGCGACAGCATGCCTATGCCAATAGTTCCCTGAGTTCTGGACATTATGGCGCAGCTCGAGGCTATGCGGCCGTACGCCATCTTGAAGCCGCAACCGTATTCGTATCCTTCTGCAATCGCCCGCACCGCAGAAAGTTGCAAATCCTATGAATGTGTTTGTGCTCTGATATGCGAGAGCCACAGTGCAACCAGTGTACTGCAGGCAAATGTACTGCTGCCCGGAAGAGGGTTAAAAGAACAGATATGACGCACTTCTGCGGCGTTCGCCTGGCTCAAAGCTGCCGTAAAGGCGCAATAGCTTGTTCATTGCCGGATAGTCAAGGCCCTGCCCGTCATCTTGAACGGAAAGCATGGGATCTTTGTCTGGAGTCTCCTCGAATTTGATCCAGACATTGCGGCATCCTACAGACGGATGCATGGCGTTATCTACGAGCTGCGCTATTGCACCAAAGAGCCACCTTTGCTGGCTGCAGAGCGCCCAAAGAATGCCCGGAGTGTGCGTGTCGCGTTGGTACCATGATGGCGTCAGCCGCATTGAGTTTATCCCATGACTCATTAAATGAGAGTGCAGAGACTCCCCACCAACGGGACAAGAAACCGCAGACGGACCCCCTTGGGACATGAGCCTGTACGGGTCATCTCCCGTGAGAGATAAGACCCATGCATCCCCAAGCACCTGAGCATGCGGACAAATTCAGATCCATTAAAGCGTTACCATCCGCCTTGTTGGTGAAGTCCTTATCCTCTCCACCTAAAAACTGACCAGATAACGCGAGGAAAACAGCGACACGCACCTGATGACGTCGGAAACCACCGTGGATAAAGAGACACGGAACAGGCGGGCGGGTTGGCCGGGCAATGGGATTGTGCGTTTCAAAGAAGCAAGCCACATGGCGCTGTCGTGCGCCAAATGGCTCCCCAACATAATCCGCAGGGTACCGGGGCTTTACAGTGTACCATTGCTTCTTGGAGAAGAAATAAACGCTAATCTGATCTGTCTCTGTCGCGCGGGCACGGCCTCCCTCCATCACAGTCGTTACCCCACTGGTTATAAGCATGAGTCGCTCAATTGTCCGAGGCTCCGCCCTCTGCGAATCAACAAAACAAACTGCCCAATCGCTCAAATCCAAAAATTACACTTGTCGTAAGCGTATCCTACAAAGGCATATTCAGTTTCTCAGCAAGGGAATGTGGGACAATAAATCGAGATAAGAATACTGACAGGTTCCTGGTAACGCTGGGTAATGAAGATAGCTGCGTAGTGGGAGCGTGGCCCTATCTTTCCCTCGTAGACCTCCTGCTGCCACTCCCCTACAACGACAGGTCCAGAGTGCGCCTCATTCACTATATCCTTAATCTTGAAATGCCAGAAGTCTTCCAGCAGCACCCGCTCCCTGCATGACACTCTTCCGTTGGCACCGTGTGTCTCCCCGCCGAACAAGCTCAAATGAAGATCTTCTGACCATATCATGGAGAAACCATACCGAGGAGGCGGTCTCGTGCCTCCCACGCGAACTTCTGTCCACGTGTTGCTTGGTAGATGCAGAGCCCACATATCGTCCAAGCAGTGGAAAGAAACGTTTGGGTTCCTGCAAGCAAAACTAGGCTACACCAAACTTCAATTTCCAGTATGTAGACTATGACTACATTTAGCGTCTCTATACCCTGTAAGGCTTTTGGCTGCGCCGCCTTACTTCCCATACTTACCCCGTACGCCCACCAAAGACGAACAGGAACTCCGACAAATTGTCAGAGCTGCTGTCCCTCCAGTTTCCTGTCTCCGTCTTTGCGGGGAACACTGAGGCCGCGTGTTGATCGCGAGGTGCTGGAGGTAGCCCAGCAGGATGCTTCTTCACCCATCTACGCAGATGCGGACGCACACTCGTAAGACTTGGACAGTTGCTAATTCACTTCTGCATGCTACTAATAACCGGACAAGGTTCTACAAGTTTGTCAACTGCACGGAAGGAGCAACAAGGAGGGTGACAAGGCTTCCGGCGACTTGCGGCTACGGCGTAAAGCCCGCTTCTATTTCTCCTCCTAACTTGGTCTGCACATGTATTAGTCTCACCTTTTAAAGTCAAGCTCTAGTATGTAAACATCGTTACAGAAAAGATTGCCCGAGAGGCCCCCAAAGAGAATAACCCCAGGGCTATGCTGCAAGGTGAGGCCGTTTGTGCTGTGACCGTCTCTTTCAGACGGATACTCGCCACAAAAAACGAATATGCGAGAAGAGAAGAAATTCAGGTTAATGACACAGGCACTGCGAAAGCTAACGCCTTCTCCCCTTTCGTTTGTTCCCCCAAAGAATATTGCCTTGTTGCTGAACGATATTAACGTATGCCCGAACACCGGAACTGGGGTCAGCGGGCGTCTAACTGGCAACCACCGAACTTTCTCAAACACTGCAGCAACAACAGGAAAAAAATGCAAGCTGATACTACGCAAACACAATATGCTTATTCCGTAGATCCTACCCTTGCTTCTGTCGCTCCCGGTGCTCTTGTCACTGCTACAGCTGTAAATGATACTGCTTGCTCACGCTACAGCTACTTACCATCTTTCGTACTCTGTGGTGGCATCCGCCTGGAGTCAAGGTTGCGTCTAATCACCCTTAGAATTGCATCTCTACTTGTGAGCCCTGTGCCCGCAGCACCACCGTCAAAGGCACCACTAGCAGCATGCTGCTGATCCTGTGGGACCGCCGTCGCAGAGCGAACGCTTCCCGCTGCAACGCCGTGAGGAGTTGTGCTGCTGGCGCTCCCTGACAAGTAGGAGCAAGACACAGACAGCAACACGCAAGGCGCAATGACGAAAGAAGCAGAAAAACAACCCCCAATCACTTCAGATGAAAAATAAAAAACGTGTCTGCATCCAATTGTAGACCAACTGCTACTCACGCAAACAGCAGAAGCAACAGACCCAGCCATGCGAACATCTCATGTCTGCCCACCTGAGGGCTGAGCACTGTGTGCTGGCTGCTGGTTTGTAGTTTTGCTCAGCCCAAAAGCCTTCTCTATTCTCGCCAGGCCGCCCGCATCAGGTACACCAAGTCTCCCTGGTTCATTCTCGAGCTTTCTGACGATCGTGTGCAGCACATCGTGACCAACTACAGCCCCGATGAAACTGTACACCTTCGAGTGGGGAAGATCGTGGTTAAGGAAATCTGTGACTATTCCACGAATGGAGTTCCGCTGATCTGGAGTTGTTACACTATCACTCGCTAGCGCCTCGAGCAAGTTGAATAAAGTCGGCCGCTGACCGCCTGAACTCGGCTGACTGGGCGTGGTCCCCACGCCTTGTGCAGCTGTCACATTACTGGGTGCTGGGTGGGCCCGTGAAGACGCCCCGCCAGCCAATGCGCCCGACGTGACGTCCCCTACATTCCCAGCACCAGTTGTCACTGACTGGTGACCTGGTGCCTGACCTGCGGCTACGCTTGGGGCAGAAGCACCAGTTGAAGCTGCTGGAGCATGCTGCCGCCCTGACGCTGCATCCCCCGGTCCAGCAGCCGGCTCGTCCTCATCCATGGTCACAAACGAAGCATTGAGTTCGTCCTCCCACGCAAGCAGACGCTTTTTAAGGAGCTCCATAGCTAGGATTGAAGAGGCCGCTAGAGAAATTGGGACGGACACGGCCACCACTCGGCGGCTCGGGCACCCTGCATACGACGCATGGTACAAGGTGACTCCTTCTGCCCCCTTCGGCGAAAACATAGAGCATTGGCGCTGCACCGCCGTCATGTCTACTGCTTCCGTCGGTGAACACAGAATAAAGTGATGGGCTGTGCCATCAGTTATCAGACGGCTTTGTGAGAGGAGATGCATGCTGCGCTTCGGAAAAGGTACAGTGCCTCCCTGAGTCCCAAAATGGGTCGCCATGCCCACCAACGGCGGATCCTGCAGCGGTGGGGCGCTCATCTCCGTTGCTGCCAGTGGTAGCTTTGGCTGTTTACTTGTAGTAATGAGCGCTGAGGAGCCGACCCCGCATGGAGTACTCTACGATGGAGGCCCGAAGCTAAGAAACAGCGTCAAGAGTAAACAAAACGGATGCGTCAATTAAAGCAAAAGCGAGAAGGAAGCAGCAGGCCGGAGGATGAAGGTAGAGCTGCTGAGGACTTTGCGGAGACCAGCAGAGGAAAAGGTCATGGGAGAGCACATGAAGCCGGCATGGTGGCACGAGGTGCTCCCCATGCAGCCAGAAACAGCTCAAGCGAAGCTACACACGGCCGCTCTTCTGGAAGGTCCCATGAATCACTTCTCGTCAATCGTGGCACAGACCCCAAAGTCACCTGGCTCTGGTGGCGCCCCCGAGCAAATCGTCAGATACACTCTGACTTGAGACTAATGGGAAATATAGCCAGCTGATGCGGCCTTTACAGACGGATCGCCCCTAAAGTCGAAGGAGGGCGCTTGGGGCCGAAATTGCGTACAGGTACAGAGGGCCGCAGCCAGTGCGAGGGGGGCTGCTAAATTGACAGGAAGCAGCTTTCAGCTCGTGAGATGGCAATGCTGCTGAAATTTATCGGAACAAACAAAAATGCACGGACGGCGTGGGGTTGGCAGACGTTGGATGCAACAGTGCATGAGCCTCCCAACTATGTGCATGCTGCCAGTTGCGCTGCGGTGTCTCGCCAGCCGGGTAGAAAGGTGCAATGGTCCTCCATCATATTTGGCGTTGGCACGTCTTTATAGCGTAGCAAAGTACAAACGATTGAGAGTAAATCCTGTGGCCGACAGAGGCGAGGGGAAGCGAAGTAACAGAGCAAGCTGGTTGCCAGCGGGCCGTTGCTGAACGTAATTGCCTTTCTAGTGGCAAGCGTCCCGCTCCAAGAGCAAAAAAGGCAGAGTGGAAAGGGTAAGAAAAAACGGCAAACCACAACTTGCATGTACGGGACGATGGGCCATTACGTTGCCACTGGCGGGCGCACGGCCAGCGGCGAGGGGAGGGAGGGCAGAGGGGAGGGCGGGGGAGAGGGGGACTTAAGCGAGGCATCACTACCAGCCTGTTCTTGTGGGATCGAAGTAGCTAAAACCTTACAGTACATACTCTCCTAGCTTACCTAGCGGAAGAAAGCGGGGAAAAGACGTAGCTCTGAAGTGCAAACTTCCCCGTCGCAGACAACATGGATCGCTGAAGTGGAGTAAGGCCAGTTTACGTTTAGTTCGCCATCAATTCACGAGCAATTCAGCTAGTATGAATTCGTTAGCTACTCATCTTAGTAATATCTGAAATATGTCATTGGGGAGGCAGCTTCTTCTAGTAATCGACCACGCTGTTCCTACGATGCTCAACGCCAGAGCTCGTCCCCGCTCGCAGAATCGATTCAAATTGAACTAATACCAAGTCAACTTTAGAAGACTCCAGCCCCAAACGTTCTTCTTTTAAATGGTCTGACGCGCTAGTAACCAACTGAGCACGTGCTTTACAAAGTGGATGTTTGCCAGTGGCGAGCCGTATGGTGTGCGGTGGACTCAAAGAACATACCATCCTCCTAGAGTGTACAAGACCTGCATTTCAAGTTTTCATGGTTCTAATAGGGGCATGTGCGTTGACACTACAGCTTAGAAGCCGTGGAACCAGTCCGTCAAGCCTTTGTTCTTTCCATCTGAAGTATATCCGGAGCTTTTCATGAAAGTGTGAGCCCAAAAAAAGTGAACCATTACTTGGGTCAGGCTAGTGCGCCTCTTATGTGACAAAAGGGATGGAGGGGGTCACTACAGGCCCGAATAAAGTCAGGCTTCTCCAAAAACAGACCGTATATCCATCTCCATTTGGTTAAGCCCAGAAGTTACACCAGCGTAAATCCATGTGAGCATCTTCAGGACAAATGCTTAGTTCAGCAAGGCATACTTCTTGCTCGTCTGTCCCTGCCATCCTAGATACTCCGTGGGTGCAAGCCGTCCCTGGTGCAAGTGGGAAGTAGCTGGGGTTTTTAACCGCAGGGCAAACGTGCTCTCACTAACTGTTGAACACTTCTCCCGTTATAAAGGCATCCGCGACTGCACTACTCGCAATAGCAAGGCCACCTAACGCGACACGGAGCAGCAGCACGCTTGCAGCCTGGCCTTGTGAGGTCAGTCGCAGCGATGCCACGAACGAATCTAAATGGATGACTGGCACGCGTGTGACGCCCATTACCACTATACGGTTCACTTCCCTTGCGCGAAGGGACACACACAGCACGGCGATAGAACGTAAATGAGTTGGTAAGAGGCGCTCAACCATAGGAATGAGCGTTCGCTCTATGCATATGCATGTTGCTCAGCGGGAGATGATGAATGTCAGTTCTTAACACTTTTCCCCAGCCACGTTCAAGTAGCTAGCAGAACGGCGAAACACAGCGGGCAGGAAAGTATCTTCGCGAAACTGTTAGTAGAGTCAACCAGCACCTCCTAGCTGTGCAGCCCTACTCCCTATTCAACTACTGTGATACTGACAATATACTGCCCTAAATAACAACGCAACCTTCGGAGGCTATGCCGTATTCTGAGTGAGGTTTGATGCATCACGCGCCGCAACAGCGAAGCTATGATATGCCACGATCGGCTCAGTCTTCTCAATCTGACCCCAGCACTGCCCGGAGAGCAATGCACCCCCACTGGCAGCTGGGAAAAGAACCCAGCTGCAACCAGCACAGGCGCTGGGCGCCGAAGAGAATCATACAGACTTAGGCCTTGACCTCGGCGCTTAGGGTATTCTGTGCGGCAGCCGATTCCGTGGCAACCTTCTTACCCACGTCTTCACTTGTCTCACCATGAAGTTCCATGAGCTTGGTAACTGAACAAACAGCACAACGCACATCGCCGAATCGGAATATCTAGCTTATGTTTGGGCAAGTGAAATGATCTAATCTGCTTGTAACATATCAACAGTGGATAAGCTCACGATCGAACTTAGGCTTCTTGATGACCTTCACTTTGCGTATGAGGACGTTCTGAAGGGGGAAGATACTTCGGCAGGCGGCTTCGATGCTCTTGCCGATCGACTCAGGGATAAACTTTTTAACCAGATCTCGAAGCTGGCATTTGGAAGCCTCCGCAGCCATTATGCTCACCATCTTCTTGCGGATTGCACGGATTTGAGAAGATCTCGCATAGCACGTGCTCTTGATTTGATTGGGTCTGTCAATGCGTGCACAGAGTCGCAGCCGGGAATGCAAAACTAACATTACAAAAGCCCTTGGTAACATCACAGAGGCCTTCAATATTGCCGTCAAGGCGTGTATCAGATAAGTGACCTTCCTGCTACTCACCGGCGTTCGGTGAAGGCAATGCAAAACATGCGGAGTGTGTACCCATCAACTGTTTGAACATCTACGAAAGCTTCGATGAGCGAATGCCATTTGCGTATGAGAGAGCACAGCTTATCCCTCGTAATATTCATGCCGTGGAAGTCTGTCAGGCAGTTTCGTCCCTGGATCTCTTCGCACTGTAGCTTGATCTTTCTGAAACCTTGATCTTCATCGAGATTTAGGTCTGCAAGGTTCACTTCGTACACGCGTCCGCGAAGAGAATCCACAGCCAACTCTGCAGGCAGGTACCCGTCAAAACATCGAAAAAAAGTATGAAATAATGGAACAGCATGCCCTGACGGCGTGACCACCGGAGCGCAGGTGACTTGCGGAAAGATCGAAACGGTGCAGCGGCATCTGATGAGCTGATGAAGACACGGGGGGCATGCTTGCAAGTATTAGGCAATGTTCACACACAAAGAGTTAAGCAACTTAACAAAAAGCCTAAACTCGGACACATGGAAGTCTTAGAAAAGCCCTATTGGCGCATGAGTTGTGATCCTAGCTGAGCACTGCATAGCAACAACTTGTGTGGCGCGTACTGGTCCCAGCAGATTTCGTTACAAGAGTCTTGCCGAAACTGCGCTGCTGAAAGAGAGATGGAGCCTTCAGATCATACCACTCCTTCTTGAGGAAAGGGTCCCCAATTTTCTTCTTCCCTCCCTTCTTGCCCTTGCTCATGCGCTTGTTCTTGCCGATTGCCATTTTCGCTGAGCTTAAGGCGAACAAATTCAGGGGGACGCGCTAGAAACCCGTTTTAAACAAGTATACTTGTTAAGCCATCGCCTTATGTCCCTTCCAGCCCCGCAGCACTCGTGGGGTGTCGCACCAGCGCAGCCAATGACGTTGTGCATGCATGCCCCACGGGCTTGGTGCAACCGTCACTGAAAACTTGAGGTATATGACTCAACTACAGTGAGTTCGCAAAATTATTACATGCGGCTCATAGAATAATCTTGCGTATGATGCTTTTATATAAAGCGTTGGGCCGCTACACAAAAACTCGTGTTGTTGCAGTCTTACACGCCTACTGAGGGTATGCATGCGATGGCCTAGCCCTGCGGTTATGGTTTCCACAGCTTCTTCAATTATCTAGTTTAGTTTCATGTTGTTGACCTGGACTAGACTTCTAGCCATGGCTGATGGTGTGGCGTGTTGCTCCTCCAACTGGGTGCCGAATTACCTCTGAAGAAGTAATCCCTGACACTCGCTGCATTATTTGGTGGGAAGGCAGCCTGTGTGCTGCCATAGGTAACAAAAAAATATTCGGAATATTTTCTGTTCTCCGCAGCGTGCTGCTGAGGCTATCATGTAAAGCACCACTCAGTCGGTTTCTTTGGTCAGGTAGTGAGCTTTGCTAGGAAAATCGCATTCAATATAATACCAGCATGTAGCCAGAAACTTCTCTCTTTGTCGTTTCATAGGAGTTTCACGCACTGCGAAGGCTACAGGATACACCTCCTAACAAGCTCTCATTAAGAGCAGTTCAACAATTCGAAACCTCCCCATAGCCGCGATGCTAGTTCGCTTGACTTTCTTACCAGCTCACAACAGCTCAACATCAGTTATTTGCAAGGCGCACACAATCAGGTGGTGGATGCACTGCCCTGCCCGCCCCAATATCCGATTCCGCCTTCACTAGTTGAGCGCCCCGGGAGTTCCACCACTTCCTGCTCTCGCAACCCTGGTAATCGCCGCGTTGGCTTTTGCTGCTGAGTGGTGCCGAAAACCTTATGACACCCAGAGGCTACTGGTTGGCCACCAAGCGCTTGCATGCATGCGCACGAGAGCGTTACGCACGTTGGCTGCTACAGCTTCGCACTATTCCTTACACTGCAGCTCGACAAAATCACGATTGCCCTCCAGCAGCTGTTTTGCACGCGCCCTCTCAAGTCGTACCTCTCTCTCCACCGTAATATCTGCAAGCATGGACTCCCGCTTAGTCAAAACCTCTTGCATTCCTAGAAATGCACCTCACTGCGGTGCAATTAACTAGAGAAGCCCTTGAATGCGAGTCACGCAAGAGCCCGCTCAGTTTTTGCACTAAATTGCGCTGTCGGCGTCTTTTGTACTGAGGGTGCATGGCGGATTTGTGGCCTGTAGTTTACCGTATTGCGTGCTTGTGCACTTTAAGGCCATATAGATCACGTGACACCGAGGCTGCAAGGGCGCCAAAATACTTTCTTCTCCTCACGCGCAGGTAGTACTACTCCTGGCCATGAGTGCACACCTATACTATGGGTTAGGTTGAACGTTGTGCTCTCTGTTGAGCTTTTAAAGCTCCCACACAGAAGGCCGCCGAAGTTTTCCAACCTATGCTATGGAGTACATGGGCCTTGTGCTGCCTGTTGAGCTATCCAACTTCCCCCACAGAGGGCCGCCGAAGTTCTCCAGCCGGTACTTATTCTCACTGGCCGTTGCAGCCGTGCAAGTCCGGATGGCGTCACTAGCCTGCTCTTCATTGCTTTGCACCAGAAGCCCATTTTAGCGGTCGTTAACTCTCCAAGCAATATGGTCCAACTGATTTCTAGAAAGAAGACGCCAACAGCACTGGGTACTGTCGAGCTGCCTATTCGCTATCACAGCTTTTCAGGGGTTCTCATTTTTGGTCGAGACCCTCGTTCCTTCTCAGATCTGTGGCAGCAGCTGTGCGGCCGACATAATGCGTGCCTTTCCGTCTGTTTTTCATCCTCACACGGGTGGGAAAACTAGGCGCGTCAGTCTCACCCTGGAGCAAATGCTTCGGAGCTACATTCAGTCTGAGTAGAGAGAATGGGTACTCTGGCTATCGAATTCACTGATAATAAATTGAGCCACTCTTCTAGGTGACGTCATGATTGGAAAGAAACATCTTACGACCATCATCCTCGGCATTTTAGTTGTTTTGGCACCCCCTTCCTCCCATGAACAGGCTGCTTTAGCAGCTCTGCGCTCGCAAAGCACGTCTGACATACGAAGCGGCAGTAGAAAGCATACGCGGAGATCAGAAGGCACGCTGCCGAGTATGCTGTAGGAGACAAGGTCTGCCTCAGCAACAACGATTTAGCAGCTATCAAATCATGCTCTAAATTCGAGCCTTCTGATCGCGGCTCGCTTACCATCAGCGAGCGAATCGGCACGGTGGCGTATCGTCCGGCATTGCCGTCGACGTTCAAGACATTTTCCGCCCTACTCACCTTGTGCGACACGGCCCTCGCGACCCTAGCCGGGTTGCTAAAGAAGCCACTGTTGGTTGGCTTATCATGCGTTACGCGGTTGAGAATCTTACTGATCATTACCAGGTCGACTAAATCTTGGAGCGGCCACGCAAAGGCAACGCCTTCCAGTACCTCGTGAAGTAAGAGAAAGCTCCTGAAGGTTGCGTTCCGTGGAACCCACTTACAGTATCGCCGGCTGCCTGCAATGCTACGAACTTGACAGCGCCGCAAGAGACGCCTTCAATCGGCACCAACCACCACATCGTCCCCTCATGTTCCCACCATCTCGTAAGCATCTGAGTTACATTACTCTATTGCATCGTATGCTGTTCAGCTTGCATCCTAGGTCCACTGCTCCACTGTTCTCTTCCCTTCACGCTCGGCAAAATATTCATTAAGCCCCTCAAATGGCGTTAGTCTGAGATTGCCGTTTCCCCTGCGGCAGTGCAGCGACCGAGCAAGGATGCTGGGCATGGCACAAGACAGTACAAAAACAGGCTCACAGATTCACCTTCAGGATGAATATCGAGTCGCACAACCACGCCATGCCTAGAAGGAGAACACGTATTGAGCATTTCAGATATCAGTAGTGAAGATGTAATAGATTGACCTGACACTGGAAACATACATAAAAGCTCACCAAAAATTTAGGCGAATATAAGGATATATTTCTTGTATCTATATATTCGCCTAAAATCTTGATATGTCTTTACGTGCATTTTCAAGTTTAATCAATCTATTAGATTCCCATTACTGGCCACGGATAACTAGGCAAGAAAATACTTAACAAAACACAAGCTGGTGTTTATAGGAGCTCAAAAAAGAGAGTCAATGGACAGGTAACATACAATAGGAATTTGTAATGCCGCAAGTTAGAAAGAACAAATGGTGGGTAATAGTAGGAGGAGACAAGAGTGAGGTATCTATGCAACTCGAATGAAGAAAGTGGCATCAGTTGAAGCAAAAACGGAAGCCGCAAAGCAAAAAAACATAGCAATGGAGAACGATAAAATAAATAGACACGTAGGCAAGCAATCGGCCCGCAAGTAAAGAACGGGAGGATATCAAAAGAATCAATGAAAAGAACACGAGATAATTGGATTGCGTCAAAGAAAAAACGGGTCTGCATCAAGACAGTTACTGTAGAGGCTGAATTTAAGCAAGGGAGGATGTCAGAGAGCGACCAATGGCCCAAGTGAGGAAGAGACATTTGAAGAATGTACAACTGAACACCTGAGATCACCTACTGCCACTGCCAACATCGCATGATGGCGCAGCTACTTGCTGTTGTAGAGCGATTACACTCACACGCTAGGACAGAACGTCCACGGGGAGAGCGGGAGACGGCGATGGTCATTGGATCGGACAGAACATGCCAGCAATTGCTCTGGGGGTGTAAGCACCATTGACTGCTAGGAGCTACGCACAAGAAGATATGCAACAGCAGCGGACATACAGTTTCAGAAGTGCGCTGGCTGCTACTGCAGAGGCAGTAAGCACAGCAACGATGATGGAAACAGCGGGCTCAAAGGCATGTTAGGAAAATTAGAGAGCGAAGGTCAAGGACAAAGGCTAAAACGCCTAGAGTGGAAGTTTCCCAAAAGGAACAGCAATGTCATGTTGGATAGAGAAAAGCTGCAGTGAGCAGCACTAGAACGTTGCTCAGGAACGAACTTCAGAGGCTGATAAAAAACTGTGCTGCACATACTGAAATTAAAAATTGCTGCAGTTGAAGAGATCTGGCTACTGCAACAGATCAAGTTCAAGGTGCTCTGCATGGAGGCCAGGATTTGGAGCTCGCATTGTCAGAGGTACTATCAAAAGTAATAAGCATATCGAGAGACACGGGCAAAGCCTTTCATTCTGAGGAAACGCTGATAATAAAAACGAAAATACAATATACTTCAAAAGATGATCCAGTGTCTTTGCCACTTAGAGGCAAGCGTGCATCTATGTAGGCACAAAAGAATCGTATTTCGCTGGGCCTAGTCTGCTAAATAGGCTTACAACGTTAAGCTGGTCCATCCCTCCTGCCACCCGGCATGGCACCGGTAACTTTGCATGCTAGAACGTGCTCTTGCTGAACTTCACGCCAAAAAGGCTTTATTCTCTGTTGTCAGCGGTAAGGTGGAAGCTGAGGCCAGCAAAGCTTCACATACTGGAAGGGCAGACCCTGTCACTGTCACAGATGTGAGCAGTTTGCTGTGACCCTCGGTAATATCTTTGTACTCAACATCGGAGGATGACCTTCCCTAATACCTTGCTTGACAGCACTTCTGTTGTAAGCTCTCCCTACGTGAATCCTACTCTCGCTTGGTGGCATCACCGTGCTTACCACTTAAGAGCGATGCACTGCACTGGTTTGTCCAAAAAGGCGGATAGGTGGTGCGATGAAAATCGATTAGGGAGTCATATTAGCAATTCTACAGACATACGGCTCTGCGTCGAACGGATCCAAGCTAAATGTGTTTCGATTTCTTGCTTGTCCGTGAAGGGGCGTGCAACACA